TGACTATCTTTATTGTATAGCATTGGTTTTCTGGCCGCGTCATTCATACATTAGGAATGCTCAATATCCATACATGTATATCGATCAATACTTCTCGGGTGCCATACTCCCCCATATGACTAGAATCTTGTTTAAACTGGGATTTGATTCATGTGTTTACCATACTTAAGTGCTTGTTGGGGACAAAGATAGCTGTCCAAGTGAGGAGTTGAACCCTAGTTAATGTCATACATGTATTTTATATGGTGTGTGAATTTGGGGCCATCTAATTACCATATAATGACTCATGGGATTAAAGTTTGACTTGTACTAGGCCTACATCATGCACATGCAAGCAAAACTATTCACAGGACTGGTGGGATTCAAAAATTCTAATACCAGTACAATTACTGAACATGTGCATTTTTTATGTATTTAGTTTTTTAGTCAAAGTAGTAAACAAGGGCCCAACATGTACAACTGGTGCGTACATTCTTTGGTTGTCAACTCTATACAATATTTCTACAAAGTTGTGATCTGTGCTTCTGGGAAGCAGTGTGGCCATGGAGGTCTTTATTGTGTTGTTCCCACAGAGTAATGCAGGACCAAAGAACAACAAAGGATTGGATTTAATCAATATAGCTCATAGACAACAATACTGGAAGGGAGATTTGGATCTGAGATCCAGTGCTTCAAGTGGCCCATAAAAAGAAGTTGCAGGCCAATTTCAGCCTGTAAGTGCTTTATTGCAGGATGAGGATTCTTGGGATTTTTTGGATTAAAACAGTCATCAGCCAGCAGTATCAAAGCATTCTCTTGCACAGCAGGCCAAGATTGCAATGGCAACAGATAGGAATCCGGTGGTAGTATTCATTGCCTTGCTTGAATATTGGAGAGTAGGACACAGCACAAGCCATGTGATTGATGTTTCCTTCTCAAAAATGTGAAATAGAAATGAAAAATTTTGTGGCACAGCAGAAGCAGCAAGAGTCAGCCAAAAAAGAGTCATAACAAACAWTGCAATTTTGTTGATTGAACTGTTTCCAGGATTACTGCTATTATTTAAGTGCTCCTGGTTTCAGCACTTAGAGTTATCAACTGTACATGTGTTATACATATGTGCTTAGTGCTGAATCTATAAATTCCATAAGTTCTCAGAAATGCTCAGAAATGTATTCTGGTTTTGTCAAAATAGTTTTTAGACAGAAAAAGATAGCCCAAAACCTACAGTCCTTCTTCATTTAACAACAAAAATGAACTATGGGCCAACCCATATGGACAGTTGTATCTTGGTCCCCAATAGTTGTGGTGTGGGGGAGCAGAGGGTGGTAATAATATTAATCAATACTAAGCATTGTGGAGCAATTGAAATTAAGCTTCACAGTCCATTCTGAATATTAGAATTAAAGTTCCCAATGTAAAGTTAGCATTCCAAATGTTAGAAATAACATCCCAAATGATATTTTAACATAAAAAACGTTATTATGTCACCATAGGCCTATGAAGATCCTTGTACAATGATACTCATTCTTCATTTTGTTGTCCGTAGGATATCAGACCGTGGGTATGATTCATACATACGACACGTACATACGATACGTATCTTCGATTCATACACACCATACATATATGACTCACGCGATCCCCTAGGATTCATACGATCGACGCGACTCATCTCATTCACTTGCGTGCGTGACTTGACTCATTCGATTCACACCTCACTCGATCCCCTAGGATTCATACGATCGACGCGACTCATCTCATTCACTTCCGTGCGTGACTTGACTCATTCGATTCACACCTCACTCGATCCTCACAGCGATCCATTCTAGATTTCATAGTTCGTCGATCCTCGATAARAGCATCGACTCACTTTTCTACTAGCACACACTTTACATCTCTTTTAGGACAGTCACTCCCACACATTTGGTGGTAGCCTGTTCTTTATTTGGTAGTGCCCTAGCATCAAAACCAATATTTTTGGTCTGCTTTCATAAAAAAGAAGAAGAGGAGGACCCCTACCCTGCTAACATTCAGAATGTAAAGTAGAGTATTCAGGACATTAAATTGAAGCAAAAGCTGCAGTACTAATTTCTACTCAGCATATGCTGCTAACATTCAGAATGTTGAGAAATTAACATTGGGAACTTCAATTCTAACATTCAGAATGCCCTGTAAAATGTAATTTCAATTGATCAGCAACACGTAGTATATCTGTCTGTGTGAAAAGTATGATTTTTTGGAATTTTAGACAAGAAAGTGAAATTCAATAGTGGATCCTATGTAGACCCAGTACTTTGCCGCACCCTAGTAGTACTCTCAGCAGTCTATCAATGATCTATTTTCAAGCAATTAAGAGGGTTTGTAGCCAAAGGCAAGAAATAGCTCAGATAATCTTGTCTTTGGAAAACTGCACATATCACAGTGTGTACATGCCATGCTGATAACAGAAAAGAATATTTCTCTCTCAAAATCAGCTTAAGAGGGATCAGGAACCAACCAAATGTGTAGATGAGAGAACAAAAATAGTTCAATTTCAAAAACAGGTGTCTTAGAGAAGAAACAATTGACACTCTCAACATAAATCTGTTCCTTTCCTTGATTCAAATGAAAACTACCAGTTAAAAACATTTGCTATTTTGGACTAAGTTCAGAGGAGTTACTGCTGAGTCTACTACACTTTGTGACAATATTGTAATTAAATTTTCCAAAACAAAATTTATTGCTACAAATTGCTACACTCTGCTATTATGAATTTATTCCAAAATATTTTATTTTTTACAAATGGTACTATGTTTTACTCTTGCTACAAGTACCATTACTTCTTCTGGCTGGACACCAGAGTGTCTGTCAGGGATGAATCCAACAACAGGAATTGCAGTACTCCTGGTTGGTGTCATTCTCTCCTTCCACAATTACCATTCTTCTTCCACCTGGCTTTTGATAGGAAAATCTGTCACTGGAAGCAATATGTTGCTGACAGGTTTTTTTTATAATTCATGTAGATTTCCCCTGTCAGCAGCTGGCAGTTTGTTTTTGACAATTATTATTTTAACTTCATGTTGTTGCCAGAATAGCACTAGTACTTATAATCACAAACTTGTCTGATAGGGCTAGAATTGCAATGACCAAAATTTCCAGACCCTTTTTGGGGAAGGGGGACAAAACTGCTGTCAAGACCAAAAAATACAAGTCACTTTGAAGTGTACTACTAGTAGTACTAGTAGGGGATCTGGGAATCTAAAGTTTTGGAAATAAATGAAATGACTAATGTTCCTGGTACTAGTAAGAAATCATTACACCAGTATGGATAATGGTACCTGATATGGTACAATATTGATTATGTTCCTCTGGCCCATATGAGTGGCCATTGTGACATTTTTTACTGGCCCAAAAACAGTTCCCACTTTACTACTCCTGAAAAACAATTTAGGCAATTGAATTGAATCAATGATGGCTGTTCAGCAGAACATATGTAATAGGTAGCAAGATAATGAAAACGCATCACCAGTACTGTGCACAACCCAAATATTTTTTGACTGAAGAATTTTCCYTGTATAATTACTCTCTACTATTCACAATATCACAGGAATGATACAATTAGTAGTACTACTTCTTCTGAACAAGAATGACAAAAATCTAGCACTAGTAGTATTATAATTGACCTTGTAAACTACTACTAGTACTAGTACTAGTAGTAGCAGGATATGGTCGCATCTCCATCAAAACTCCTTGGAGGGAGGTGCCGCCCCTTGGAGTGACTAGAAGCATGCTTTCCACCAAAAGCTATGGTTCTGGCCATAGTTCCTCTTCTAGTTCACGAGGTTAAATATAATATTGAGATTTTTTTAGTAGYAGTAGCAGGATAGGCACTAAGGGTGGCCTGAATCATCACATCATTAGGAGAATGCTTGTCCTGGCTGCTCCAAGGGGTGAACAAAATGACTACTACTACTACTACTACTACTA